ATATTCATCTCGATTTTATAGGTCCACTCCCAATTTCTGATAATTTTCAATATTGCATGACCATAACCGATCGTTTTACTAGATGGCCCGAAGTCATACCAACTAAGGATATGACGGCGAAAACAACATGTCAAGCATTAGTTAATGGGTGGATAACTCGGTTTGGCTGCCCATTAACAATCACAACTGATCAGGGTCGGAATTTTGAATCAAATTTATTTCGCGAACTTACAGACATGATAGGTGCACATAGGATTCATAGTACAAGCTATCATCCAATGTCAAATGGCATAATAGAGCGATTCCATAGGCATTTAAAAAGTGCTATCATGGCCCATAATACTCCTAGGTGGACAGAAATATTACCTGTCGTCCTACTGGGCATACGTTCAGCTGTTAAAGCTGATATTAATGCATCGTCAGCTGAACTGGTGTACGGCACTACTCTTCGCTTGCCATCTGACATTTTTAATTGTGCAAATGATTTGTCATCACCAACAGAAAATTATGTTGCACAGCTTAAACACACAATGAATAGTTTAAGTCCTATTTCACCTCAGTATCATGGCAAACAATCACTTTATATTCATCAGTCCTTACAAACTTGTTCGCATGTTTACTTAAGAATTGATTCTGTCAAACCACCTTTAACACCACCATACACCGGACCTCATCTGGTGATAGAAAGGTCTGATAAAACATTTGTAATTGAATTTAATGGAAAAAAGACAACAGTTTCTATAGACAGGCTTAAACCTGCATTCCAAATTTCAAATGTAATTCAACAAAATTCCACTCCATTAAGGATTACTCCGTTGTCAGAAAAACAAGAGCAACAACCTACTCTCACCAGATCTGGTCGGCATGTACGGTTTCCCAAACATCTAACTGATGAATATGCCATTTAAAAATCTTCCTATTGTACATATATATAATTTTTTCAAGAATTTTTATGAAAACATTTATGCATTTATCTTATTCTTTTATATTTCATTTGTATATATTTATACATGTATTTCCATTATCAAAATGTCATAAAACTTAAAACATGTTATATATAGCATATAAATTGTAGAAATGCAAATTTCTTGTATCGTGACAAAGTCACTGGGGGGGATACTCTGTAGCGATTCCCTTCTGGGAAATCTATTTTTAGACCAAACCCCCAAATTGTGCCTCTTCAGCCTACCCTGAGAGGCAGTCGCACAAAACTTGTTACTTGTTACGTTTTAATAAATTTATATTAAGTTTAAATCGTCATCCTTGTTCTCACTGCACATTGGAGTCCTCATTAATTAGTGATTAGAGGAAATAAAATTACACCTTGAAACCTCTAAAATCCTTTGAAATCTAAAATAAAATTTCAGTGCGCAAAAAAAAAATTTAAGAAAATAATAAAAGAGCTGCCTGAATAACTTTGATTTAATGATCGGATTTTCACGTTCTAAGCCTCAATCTAAACATGCAAATAGTAAAATTAACATTAAGGGCCCCAAACTTCGGATCTCTTTCCTGATCAAACCATGCAGATCATATTTTCCAAATTGTGGCTACTATATATATTCTGGGGGCCCTAAATCCAAATCCGTAAAAAGAAAAATGTTAATTCAGTGAAATTACGTTTTTGTGTCTGATTTTGCAACTTAAAATATCACCTGCCTTAATTAATTAGCATATTTGAGGTGATCCCCAATTGAACCATTAAAATTGAGTCCTGTAGAGCGCAAAGACCTGATCATTAGATCAAAAATTATTCAGCGTAATCGGGTTTTTTTTCTTCCTTTTTGCACTAAATGTATAGTGTATTAATGTACATTAATCTTAACTTTGACAGAAAGTGGTTAGAAATGAGAATTCTTACTATGGCCTTCTTTTTTTAATTTTAAGAAAATAAGATCTAAATTCAGACTAGCCAAGGTTTTATAATATGCTTTTGTACTGAATACATTACAGAATCCTCGGAAGTTTTTAATTAATGCCAATATGATAGTTATTATGTCCTCTGTTAAGTACTGAAAATTACTCTTAAAATGAATGAGATTTATAAAATTTTCTTTCTGTTTCTTTTGCAGTTTTAATTTTAATACACATATTTCAGAAAATAAATATTTAAAAAAAATTAACAGAAAGTGCCCCCTCTAAAATTTCTTTCACGCTGCGTCTATGTTTAAAAGATGAAAACGTTTTATTCTGAAATTTATTTCCAAATATTTTATAAGAGCCCTTCTAAGGTTCGCCCGGCATAGACATCCCTCTTGCTCCCCTTTAGCTACGCCAAACGCTACTGTGTATGTGTAGTTCACGTAGTGTAGATCACAGTTCCACACCCAAACTACATCTCTTTGTTTTAACGCAACGAACAAACTATATCGTTCTCACATTAAGAATAAAAATAAAGTGACTAATTGTTAAAAATTTTTTTTCAATAATGTTTCGATTTCAACGTTTCAACTGTATGGATAGTAGGCTGAATGTAAACAATCACAAACTTCTTAAAACCGGAAGAAATTTGGAAAACTTCCGGTGTATTCCACAGCCTATGTTATGCTCGCAAAGCGATGTGTGAACAGGCTTAATATTCTATGAAGTTTTATTATTGTGATTCGTGTTTAAATTTAAGCGTAATTTTACTATTCATAAGAGTATTCTGTAATTTACATATTCTAGCAGGTCGTGAGGTCGCAAATTTAAGAAAATTAATATCACAACATAAATAAAGTGTAAGGTTTGACAAGTTTCGAATGTTTTCCCTCATTTGGCTATATCACTGTACATTATCATTGTTTTTTTTTTTTTTTTTTTTAAGAAAATCACAGCACGCTTATGGAGTATTCATTCTAAATTCATTTGTTGTTTGCTTCGTTAAAATTTAAATTGAAAGAACGTGTTATAATGTAAGCTCTACAAGTATAATAATATTGGATAGCTGGCGCGTGAAAGCTCAAGCGTGAAAATCAGCTGAAAATAGTAACCAGGAAGTCTTATGGCGAATTTAAGTCAATTTTACTATAATGGACAATAATATTCAATTTTACTATAATAGAAATTTGCAGTCTATGTTGTAGAAAAATTTGTTTACTACCAAGTTTGCTAGCAAGAACCCTCCACGTCTTCCATGAAAACTATCACTTTGAAAACATTTTGATGCCATTTGCATCCACAAAAACTCAGTTCTGGTAATGAACTTGTTAGCCAAATTAAAGATGCTTGCCAAAAAAGGAAACCCTCAGTTTTTTTGCTACTCAATTTACATTATTGACTTCCACTTAAAAATAATGTCATATCGCTTATCTTTAGTATTTCAAGTGATGTTTTTAGCGTGGTTTATACTGCTCGGTAGAACTGAATTATTTTTTATCAAAGCAGACATTTTGATTAGTCAATTTTAAGAGAGAAATAAAAATGTCCAATTAGATTGAACTTAAATTTGAAATTGCTGTAAAAATGTACAATCAGAGCGGTCCTGTAGTGAACTGATCGTTAACGCACGGTTCCCAGCAGATCACCGAAGTCAAGCATCACTGGCTGCAGTCAGTGTGCGGGTGGGTGACCACTTGGATCAGTCTGCGTAGGGACCGAGGGTGTGCGGTATTGGTCCTCGTTAAACTTTTCTACGTAAAGTGCTCGACTTCGCGTGCAGGTCTTTGGGCTACCGAAGCGGGGCTGCCATCCCCTCTGCAGAGTATCGAAATTGTGATGGCACGTCTTCAGATCATCCTCAGGGATGTTTCCCAGACCGTCGCCAATAGCTCATTGTGCAGCTCTAGTGGCATCCCCTCTGCAGAGGATCAAAATTGTGATGGCATGTCTTCGGATCATCCTCAGGGATGTTACCCAGACCGTCGCCAATAGCCCATTGTGCAGCTCTAGTGCGACGTAAATCAACAACAACAGCAACAACAACAGCAGCTCTAGTGCAACGTAAATGAACTACAACAACAACCAATCCGACCGAACTTAAATTTGAAATTGCTGTTGGGTAAGGTTAAAGCGTACCTTCAGATGAAATCACTGTTGTGTCTGTCAAATACTAAAAATTTGCAGAGAGGCAAACTTGTGAATAATGTAGTTAGTGTTTAAGTAGATAAATGTTAATTTCCTATACAACTAATTGATATAAATTCGCCTTAATCGCAAGAGACTGGGTTATATCAGTAAAATATGTAGAAAGTATATGATAATATCAAAAATTGACATCTCAAGATTTGTTTATTTTTAATGAAAAGTTCTTATTAAGACAAATTTATTAGCTACATTGCATATTTTCTTCGCTAGATGGTTTATTAGTTCCTAGGATTTTTATTCGAGAGTGACAAAATATTATTTTAATCTATTTCAAACAGTTTAAGTTTGCTTAAAAATATTGTAGTTCCCTTCCCAATGGTTAATTTTTTCTGACTATATATTTTGTTTACATTTCATCTTACTAATGATAAATAAATTCACTTTATACTGTACAGCTGTGAAATTACTTTTGTTTGCGAACGAGAGCAATGGATATGTAGGTAAGAAAAACCTTAATAAATTTCATTGTAAAATTTTTAGCAATTTATTTTACTCTAGTGAAGCTCAACATGTAAAAATACACGTTTGTGTTTTGTTATTGTTATACATTTCCATACAAGTATTTTTTAATCGAATCAATGAATAAATTTCCGAAATATTTTATTGCTGAAAGCATCATAATTTTTATTGTGCAAATTGTAATAATAAGTATTCAGTAAAAAGTTCTCTTGATTGAATGTTAAATTAAATGAAGCATGTTCCATTGGTATGCATGTTGTACAATAATCTTTAGAAATAAAGAGTAATATTCTTTCAATCAGAATAAAGTCAGCCAAATTTCAATTTGTGATCTACAGCTAGAAATCATTTTTTCAGAGTTCTTTAAAATCAATTGTTTTTATTTCAGACATATGGTTCGTTTTCATTTTAATATTCTTAGTTCAAATTTTATGTCAACCGATCTGTTTAGGGGTCAGGGAACTGACCTTGCATCAGAAAGGTTCTGGGTTCGAATCCCAACCTGGACAAGGCATGGATGTTCTTTCATTCTCTGTACTATCTGTCCTTACTGTGGGAGCAAGGTTGGCCCACCTAATATGCTGCCCCTAAAAGAGTGGCCAACAAATATACCCTTCAGCTGCCTGTATTGACGAAATGTCATTCCCCATGTGGACACTGGAGAAAAAAGAAGCTCAAATTAAATATATAAAATGCATATTTCTTACTTAGAATTCAAAATATTTTATATTACCTGAAAGAAATTCTAATAGTGATGTTGAGCTATTACTTGGGGGAAATTGTTATAATAAATAATTGAATAATTTTTTCTGAATATTTGGTTTAGAAATGTTTAATTATGCTTTCCTTCATTTTGCATAATTTTATTAATTAATCATTTTTTTCTTTGTTTTACTTTCATGTATTTTGATTATATATAATTATCTGCTTTTGTTTTAAATTTTCTTCAAACATATTGTAAAAAAAAGGAAGAAATTAAAACTTTTTATATTTAAACTGGGATTTAAATTTGCCAACCTTGTGTGAATTAGATGCCTATTTAATTAGTTTTAAAGTAATTTCCACCTGTGATAATGTATTTCTCTTCTTGAATAAATAATTTTCGGTAGCAACTATCTAAGTTTTCAATTAAATGTTTTTTTTTATTTGGATAAACTTATTGGAAATATTTTCTTATTATCTTTAACTTACTTAAAATTTGTTCTTTTATCAAATTTTTCAGCTTTATAAGTTATTCTCCATACACTTGTGAGATTAAATGAAGCATGAGAAATTTCACTTAAAGAATATGGTTTAAAGATGTTGAAGAACTTAAAATAATTCCATCAGAACTTTTAGAGCTATCCGAAAGGTAACGTTAAAAGTTGTTTCAGAAACCTTTATAACTAAGTAGAGAAATACACTTTTCAGGTGGAGGTAATTAGATATATATTAAATGGGTAAATAATTCCAATGATATTTTCAGGAGTTATTAGATCTGTCCTAAAAATTAGCAAGCAGCTTTGTTTATTTGAAACTTATTTAAAAAACTAAAATAAATTTCATATTTTGTATCTGTAAGGTGCAGATTTGTAAGTAATTCATAATGTATTTTTATCCCTATTTATGAATTTATCTAACTGAATTGTGTCTCAGATACTAAGTTACAATTTTAGCCAAATGCCTCTCTCCAAACTGGTTTTAAATGCCCAAAGTAGTTTAAAAAATTATTTAATAGAAATAAAGTTTCAAAATGTATTCGATATTGTTTATTAAAATATAGAAACTTCAATTTTTTACTAAATCTTTATAAAGTGGAATCTTTTGTTTTCTTTTGGTCTTTCTTTATTTGTTTGTTAATTTTATTGAGCAGAATTTTTTGAGTCTAAAAATAAAATTTTGCTGTATGTTTTAATTTATATTGGATTATATAATACTATATTTATTTCTAGCTCTGCATCTTGGAGAAGAATGCCAATATGATATGCAGTGTCTTAAAAGTGACCCTAACAGCTATTGTTCTTCATACAGTCTACGCTTCTTATGTGTCTGTAAAAATAATTACAGAGTTAGTCTTGTAAATAATACTGAAAGATGTATTTATAGTAAGTTTTTGTTTTTTTACTTTCAAACTTTTAACTACTTGAATGTATAGTTTTTTTTTTTTTTTCAATTTCAGTGCAATTAGTTCCTTATCTTATTTTGTAGATAATATTTGTATAGATCTGGTTTTATTTTATTTGCATTAATTATAACCATAATATAAGTAAACTTCAAATTTAATAAGGTAGTAATATTTTATTCTGCTTTTGTTATGTTACAAAAGTTGTGTCAGTACTGGTAAAAGTGCAGACGCATAGCAAATCAGCTCCCATATACTTGTATTTAAAAATTAATTTCCTGGTAAGTTTAATCAAAAAACATTATTGATCCAGTTTTTTCAAAGAACACTTATTAGAGATCAATTATTAAGTAATAATATATAATAACGCAAGTATTTGAGAAAGTTTTAGTTTAATTTACTTTTTCTATTAATTTATTACCTTTGAAACAGTGCTAAAAATATTTTGCTTAAAGACACTTCTGATCTTCTAATTCATGGAAAACCACTATTAAGATGACACTTTCTTTGTTGGTTGATACACAATGTGAACCTGCCTTAATGTTTCTCTCTCCCCTTTTTTTTATATCCAACTATCTTTATGTTAAACTTAATATTTTACCATTGTTTATGTTTAATGCTTATTTTATTTTATTTGCCAGGTAGTTATACTGAAGATGAACGTGAAGGATTGACTGCTGCTCCCATAATTTTATGCTTTTTAGTATGTGTTTTAGTTGAAGCTTTTTGCCTGTTGGCATTCCGTTACTGGAAAAAACGAAGGTTAGTTCTGTTGACAGGTTTCTGTAATTCAAATTGCTATCAATGATAAAAATGTATTTATGTCCTATGCAGTGTTGAAGAATATATATATATATACAAGTAATAATATAAATTTACTCAAAAAAATATAAATATAATTAAAAGAAAATTAAATAAAATTGTGTGTTTACAGAGCAGCACTTCATCAGGGGACACACTGTCTGTAAACTTGAAATTTTTGGAATTTGTTTTCATTTACAAAATTTATTGGGAATATGTTTTCTTTTTCAAAATTGTTGGGATTTTTTAGATAGATGGCGGCACTTGGATTATATTGCTCTTTAATTTGTTTTTTTTTTTTATCTAGGTGTCAGCACAATATAAATTTTGAGCTGATTTGGAATTTATAAGGAAATTCTTCTTCACTTTTACTAACTGTAACTGTTTTTTTGTGCTTTGGGGGCAGTTTTTTTGATGTCTTTTAAATGTTTTGTATATTTGTTTCAGTAAAGGTGATTTTATTACAAAGTTTTTCATGAATGTTATTATGGTAGATATTTATATAATGTGGTAATTATTATTATTATTATTCTTTATGCTTGAATTTTCATTAGGGGCCTCGGGGCACTGTTAGTTTTGGCTTTGCCACTAACAACAGAAAGGCTCCTGTGTGTTTACAGACAGTGTGTCCCCTGATGAAGTGCTGCTCTGTAAACACACAATTTTATTTAATTTTCTTTTAATTATATTTATATTTTTTTGAGTAAATTTATATTATTACTTGTTTATAAGATTTGAATTTGGTTTTAGCTGCCTTGTGCGCTGTTCCAATTTGAATTTGAATTAATGTAGTTATGTTTTTTTTGGTTACCTCCTGTTTTATTTATTTCAATTAAGATTTGAATTTATGTTTGGTTGTATATATATATATATATATATTAAAATGATAATTTCAAAGCAAACATTTAAACTACGTTAGATTTTAAGATACTAACTAAGAAAATACCATTGCTTAGAAAATCAAATTACACATTTGAACTCAATTTTCACAAAGTATTTATTATGGACGATTCTGTTCTTTAAAGGTTAGATCTTGTAAAAAGTAATGAGTTAAGAAAATGCTTGATATATCTTTGAATAAAGTAAATTGGAGTACAGTGACATCTACAGTAAATTGAGAGTTTTATAATTAGATCTAAGAACATATTTAAAAGAACAGAAACTCTAAATTGCTAAATGTTGGTTGTTGTGGCTTGCATACAATATTTTTATATATGAGAGTTGAGCTGCAGAGTGGAACCTATAAATTTGTATTAGTATATATAAATGCATATGTTTGACAAATATATAATCATATCATATTCATATATTTTTAATTGCCACTTAAAGATTTAACAGCATGTGAAAAAGACTTCCTTAAATTTTATCAAACACCATCTATGAACTTCTGCTTGCCAATGTCAAGATGATCTTTGGAAATCTGGGAAAAAGCAACCAGTTAGGTGCAGTCTATTGGAAAAAAGAAAAAAAAAAAATTCCCTAGCAAGTCATGTAGAATTATAACCCAGATATAATTTAGAAATTGTTTAAAATATATCTTTGTGCATAACAAAAATTTTAAATTTTTTTTATGCTATCCTTTTAAAGAAATCTACTGCTGTCCCTTGCTAAATAGTCAAAGCAATAGATACTAAACATTCTCACCTTTTTTTTCTTTCAAGTGTCATATTTTGTCATTGCTCCATTAACAGTGGAAGTCACTTGTCTAAATTTAATTGACTCACTTTACAAATTATTTCAAGGCAGCATTTCAAAATTTAGTCTTGGTGTCTTAAAAGATGAAGAAGTAATATACTAACTATGTTCAATTAAAATAACCGAAAAAAAGTTTTAAGCTGGAAAGCCTTATGCGTAGCTTTTAATTTAAGAATGATACATAGAAATTACCTAAAAGCTCTTAATTTGTTAGAAATATGTGTTACCAAAACAACTAAATTTAAACAACTCTTACTGCTACTTCAAGATAAATATATATGTTCATATTTCACTCAAATTGACCTAATTATAGATAAGTTAATGGATGGAGTTAATTGTGGGATGTCATTCAAAATATGTTGATAAACTGAAATAGAGCAAGTTTTCTCGTGCAGTAAATTATTTGAAGTTGAAAAGAATATAAGAAAGTCTCAAAGTTAAGTAAATAATTTTAAGAAGTATTCAAAATCATTAGTTTTTTATAATAACTAAGAAATTTGGATCAAGATGCAAGACAGAAATATTTAAGAGATGAAAAAGTTGAGTAGAAAATACTAGAAATCTTTTTTGATTAATTAAAAGAGCTTTTAAAACTTAAAAAAAAGAAATTTTTTTTGTTGTTATTATTAAGGTAAAATAGGTTATTATTAAGGTTATGCTATTGTAGGTTATCATTTAAAACTTTGTAAAATTAGTTACTGAAAGAGAAGAAATTAGTGACATTAAGTATATCTTTTAATCAAATAGTTCCAAATAATTTCCTTCAACTATTTTTAAATTTAAAAAAAGATTATCAAAAGCCAAACTAAATGGGAAAAGGCTATTTCTTAAACCTGCTTTTCCTCTCTAGAGCTTATATATCAAATAAAACGTTCTGTATTTCCCAATAATTTATTCTACAGATATTTGGTGAGTTTTGTTCCCCTTTTTCTTTAAAGCTTAATAATAAAACGTTAACTATTGGCTATAGTTTGTATGATTTTGTTTTAAATTCTTTGTTTAGTATATTTAATAAATGTTGCTTGTGATCAGAGGTAAAAAGCTGGTGTATAAAAAATTAAAGCTTTTTAATTTAACATCATAGTTTTCTTTATTTTTCATTCTTTCAACCTAATAAAATATTTGTTAAAGTTACTTTTCAAAGCTGACTTAATTAAACATAAAAATATTGTAATTTTTACTAATTATTTAATTACTTTATGTGGAAAAGTGATATTTAATAAATAATTATGGAAAATGGCATTTGTTGTGTCCATGGAAGTGTAGTATTTTAAAAAATTAAATTAAAAATATTGATGTTTATTTTTAAAACTTTAGTTTTTCCTAATATTTTTAATTGTTAAATTTATGTTTTTTTTATAGGCGTACTAGTGTAACAAGACATGGAGCTTTGCACTTACAAACAGTCACACTCTCTGAATTTTCTAGATTTTCTCATAGTCGAAGTGACCCTATTGTTTCATTTGCAATTGCTCCTGCTATGGACTCTGTAATTTCTAGTGAGTATAAGCAAAATAAAAACATCGAATTTTAGTGTGTGTGTGTGTTTGTTAGTGTAATGTGAAGTATTTTTTAAAAATTATGTTAGATTTTTTGTAATAAGTTTAAGTTAATAAATTTTTTTATCTAAATAGTGCAAATTTGAAAATCTTAGTAATTTTGAAAAGACAAATAAAAAACTTAAGGGTCATGAAAAGTAGTTGAAATAAATATGACTTTATATAAATAGCCAATTAATAAAAATTATATGTATTATTTTGCTGTGAAACTTTCTACTACATTTGAGTGCAAAATATCATTAACTTCTCAAGAAAAATTGAACTTATAAATTATTTTCTCAGGAGGCTTTAATTTATAGAAAAACTTTTGCTTAAATGATAGAAAATTTTTTTTTGCTATTGCTTTTATATATTAGTTCTACTAACTCTTGTACATTGTAATTACAGTCCTAAATAAATTCATAAAAAAATGTATGCAGCTGTATTTCTAAAACCAAATTTATTTTGAGCAAATATTATTATGGTCAGTGTAATTGTATTACGAGTTAACAACATTTAGGGTAGAATTTTTACCAGCAAAAATCAATCAGGAACTGTAGGTAGAATTAAGTTCTGATATTTGTAATTTTTTATTTTTTGCCCTCAACTACCCTAAGAAATTCGAGCTAATGTGCAATGTTTTTAATCTACTTATTTTTTTTATTAACTTTATTCTATTGTAAATTTTTCAGGATTTCTTTAAAATTGTTTGCATTAAGGTATTGGATATGATAAAAAGACAAATAATAATTTTTCTGATTCCAGGCACTCATTTGGCTTCTCCGCCACCTTATAGTCAGACTGTTATTGTTGATACAAGTCTTGTTTCACAGAGAGAAGTAAGTAAAGTAACCTGGTTTTAAGATAGGATTTTTATTTTTCAGTTGGAGAAAAAATTAATGTATTATGCAGATAATTTCTTTAACAGGCAGACTAGTTCTAAACCTCAAAAATATGTGTTTGTTAAATAAATTGACTACCCAATAACATATTGTTTTGTTTAATCTGTTTTTGAGAAAATTTGTAAAACAAAAAACACGGAATTTCTTTTTTGCAAATCTTTTTCTTCCTTTATTGGAATATTTTTCCTGAGGATGGAATCTAAATAGAAAATGACCTGAAAATTTCTAATATTGGTTTCGTGTTGATTGGTTAACTTGTTCTGAACATGTTGCTAACAGTGAATAATTTTGAAATTTTAACTATTACTTTTAATTATTTTCGTTGTTAATTTCATTTAATGTAATGTGCGTTGCTTAATGTGTTTTGTTACTTTACCCTGTTGGAAATTATGATATAATAAGTCACACACAATTTATATTTTGTATTTGTACTGATAAGTTTTTCTCCTCTTTAAAAATATCATGTTCCATTTTTTTTTCAGTATTTTTTAGTGATGTCATCAACAAACGTATCTAAATTGATAATTTTATATAGAATAAATGTAACTAGAAACTAAGTTTACAAAAATGTTCTTTTGCAGTATGCCTAAGTAACTCTAATTCACTTAAGGTCTTCTTTACTTTTGAACTAGAACGATGCAAGCTTTAAGGGGAAATTCTCGTCATTCATTAAAGTGGGTAGGTGGAGGAGAAAAACTCATTTCCTCCATATCTGTTTTTCAAGTTGAGGGCGGGAAGTGACAAATTCTTATTTTCTCTCCAATCATTGGCTATCAATCAAGCATAAAGGCACGGCATGCTGATTGGGTTTTCTTTATTTTTTCTTGTGAGACTGAAAGTGACTCTCCCTCCATGTTAACGTATGCTGCGTTTACTCTTTTTCACAGTGTTTCTTTCCCTAACACTCTAATAAAAAGGTTCCAGGAAATGCCTCTTTTTCTAGCCAGGTGCATAGGAAAGAAGAGGAAGGGGACTCAGTTGTGCTCTTTTTAAAACAAATCTCCCTCCTTTCCTGCATTCCAGAGGAGAAGCGTCACTAACGGCCTTCTCTTCCTCTTTCTGGTGATTTATGGGTTCAATGCATAAATCACTAGGAGCTAGAAAAGGAAAAAAACGTATCAAAAGACCGTTTTTTTTTTTAAGCGAAGGGAAGATGAAAAGATATTTGTTTATTTTGATCGTTAAAAAGTGTCCGGGAAATCGACACTTCCGGAAAGAGGACGTTCGCATATGGGACGATACACTGCAGTGCAATTAATGAACTGAACATTTTTTAAAACATTTGTTACATAATTCTAGATGTAAGGAAAAAAAAGAAGAGAAAATTGGGTGTACTGCTAAAAACTGGATGTATTACAAATAAACTGGTTGTATTACATATATTATATGCATTGCATATTAGCCAAATTTACCTAATTAAATGAAATACTCATGTAGTCTTTATTATAAAGCATAATGTACTCAGTTTATAAGACAAATCGCATATCAGTGAAAAGTTAGTAATTTATAGAAAATATGCAAAATACTTACTCGGCGTGTGTGTACAGAATTACACTGAATAAACATAAATGATACTTAATATCATATTAAAGTTATTAACTCCTAGTAATAAACATACTGATATGCTGTGTAATATTTGCATACCTTTTTTATATGCTATAAGATATTCAATTATAGTATGCAATATTTAATTATTAGATATTTAATTATAGTATGAAATAAAGTAGTACAGCGGTATAAAAATTAGCTTTTGTAGGTTAAAAAGTTGTTTGTTTTAACATATCATGGATGTTGTTTTTAATTATGCCTATTTTTAATAATGCCTACAGAATTGAATATTATATTGTTGTCAAAGGAAAGAGAAAATAAAACATTGAAAAGGCTATGAAAAGTTAATTTATAGAAAATATGTAAAATACTTACTTGTCATACAGAATGCACTAAATAGACACAAAAATGATACTGAAAAAATAATTAACTCCCAATAATGAACATAATATGCTTTATTACATATGCACGTATTTTTTGTGTGGTTAATGTGATTAGTTATTGTATTAAGTAGCCCATGCTGTAAAAATTAGCTTTTGTAGAGTAAAAAAACTTATTTTGACATCAAGGATATTGTTTTTAAAAATAAATGATGCTTAAGGAATTAAATATTACATAGTTGGAAAATTATTTTGCAACAACTGTGTAAAAAATTGTATCTTGTATAAAATATTTTGTATTAATATTCTACATATATATTCACATTAATTGAAAAAAAAAACTTTTATTCTATTACTAAGTAATTACATGTACACAAGTTTCTATACATTGTCTCATTTACAGGAGCCTCCTCCGCCATATGATGAGGCTGTTAAACAATATACTGCATTCACAAAGCTTTCTTCTGAAGAGTATAATCACCGTAAATTGTCTTTCTGAATGTAATATTTTCCATGGGCGGAGTAAAACACTTTTATTCTGAATATATCATTCCTGTAAGTGAATGTAGTTATGACATAAATGGTGCCAACCTGAATTGTGTTCTTACTTTCTGATCTCCAGTTGAAGGGAAGTAGTTTAACTGTGTTGAGTTTTTTCTACTTGTAGAGGTATGTAATCTTTAAAATATGTTATGCTAATATTAGTTACTTCTGTTACAATGTGTATCAAAAACTAATTGAGTTCATTTTTGAATAATATTGACCAAATAAAATTCAGTTTGATCGTGTTGTACATTAAATAAAGCAAATATTCATCAGAAACAGATGTTACATAAAACAAACTGTTCAATATTTTCAAAATATTTTTAAAATAATTAATTGTAAATTCATTTATCAACAAAACTTTCTTAAATCAAAGTACGTAATCAAATATATCAACTGATTAGAGTTGTGTTACTAATTTACACTTCATCATTTCAAAATACTATTATTTGGAAATTCTTAACTAGTATGAACTACTTTTGTATGAACTACTTTTGTGTGGACTACAGTTAAATTAAAGAGAGAGAGAAACAGTTTGCAGTTAGTATTGAGATCAGTGATATATTTGATCATTATTAGTATTGATTATTAGTATTGATCAGTGTTACATTATGTCATGCATAACAGCCATACTATAATTTTTATTTTTTATAACATTAGTGCTGCAAGCTGCTATAATGCGCCAAGAAAAAACATTGCCATGTGTTAAACGTAATGAAGAAAAACAATTTTTAAATTAAGTTCAGGAAAAATTAATACATAACAATAATTTCTAATTAATTCTCAAGTTCACTTTCCCCATATTCACTAGCATATGTTACTCCAGGGTTTAAACAAGAAACATTATTCACCTGCTACAATTTGGTGAAACCCACAGATTTCACAATTAAATCTGACTCTCAAGTAACCCTTCCATTTTAAGAGAGTTATCAGGGAAATACTTCCCCACTGCTGATTGAACATTTTAAATAATGATAATGTTGGACTCCACATCTGTATTTGGGTTAGAAATTGTTACGAGAAGATGAAGTGAAGATCTCCTTGGTTCAGGGAATTTGATTTTGAGGAAAAATGTCTTGAAATGTAATTTTTGGCCAAAGCCTGGAACATATTTTTAAAAGAACCTGGAAAATAATTAATTTTAAAATTTATGGTAACAATAAATAGCCATTGAGGCTTAAAGTAAATTATCTATTTTTATTATATCTTGTAAAAAATCTGCTGCAATATTTTTGTTATTAACTAAAATTAGAATATTAATTTGTGAAAACTTCCCTGTTTAGAAGTTTGCTTTAAATTTCTTTCTAAATATAACCACATTTGTAGTTCAATAATACTATGTATATTAGGAGTGCACAACCTTTGGCTCGCGGGCCATCAAAAACCTGGGATTCATTGGTTTTTTGATGAAAACCTCAAGTTTTTTCAAAATACTTCAAAAATTTTTTCCTGAGTACTAAATAAGAAAGTATGATTTGCTTCTAACATTCTAACAAGAAAGTTTAATATTTGGTAACTATTTATAATTTGTTTTGTTGCAATGTAATTTTTTTTTTTATGTTTTAAATTGTTACGCTATTATTTTTACTTCTTAAGGATAGTCAGATTATGTAAGAATTTAAATCTTCTCAATTAAATAATCCTTAGTTTTTAAAAATCGTTTTATTCAGTTAACATTGCAACTTAATATACTGTTTTTAATTTTTATTCAACTTTTGGTTGCTTTAAAGTTAGTTCATGTTTTTGCCATATTGTTTTGTAACATTATGTAAAGTTATCCTAATAACAGGTTTTGCTGGAAATAATTTAGTGTAAAATTCATCATAAAAGTAAATATAACACATTTTCTGTTTAAAAATAATTTCAAAATTTTGTTAAGTTATATACAGGGTATCTGTGCACCTAGAAAGTCATGAAAAATCATGGAAAACCATGGAGCTCAGTATTGAACAAAATTTGTCATGACATGTCATGATTTTAACTATTTTTTGAAAAAAAAATCATGGAAAGTCATAAATTTAAGTTGCTGAAAAATATAATTTTTAAAATGGTATACCCTCCCAATTTCACAGTGTTTTGAATATCTGAATTTGTAACAAAATCTCCACTCATAGTCACATTTTATGAAATGTAAAATTGTTTCATTTTGTTCTTTAAAAATTATGGTGTTCTTCATTTAAAAAAAAAAATGAAAGAAAGAACGTCATATCTTGAGCGAATTATCTTTTAAACTTCCGTGATTGCAGAATTTTATTATCTATTTGTTATTTTTCATTTTATCAATTTAAAATTCCAGTTTAGGCTTTTTATATTACACTTACTTTTAAGAAGAAATAAAACAGGTTTAAATAAATACATATATCTGACTATTTAGTTATTTGCTTTTGTATTTTTTTAACTATTTTATTGCTTCAACTTTTTCTTTACTCTTTTTTTTAAGTTTAAAATCAATAACTATGAAGATGCAGAGTATTACAGTTTTGGTTATTCCTATCATTTCAATTAATATTATTATAATGCTTTTTTAAATTTATTGTTGACTTTTCGTTTGAGAAAATAGTAACTTTGGTAAGTCATGAAAAATTCTTGGAATTATTCATGGAAAGTCATAGATTTGAAAATCTATAATGTAGCTAATACCCTGTATATACCATTTTCAAAATGTTTTCCATAAAATTATTCAATATTTTTTTTGCAAAAAGTATCTGATAAGGGGATATTACAGGATTATTTTATAATAAAAGAATACCACTTTCATTTTTAAACTGTTAATTTGCAATGAAAATAAAATATCAAATCATAATAATAATAGTGAATAATATTAAGAATGATGGAAGATGATAAAGAAATATTACTATTAAATATATATTAATTAATATATATAAATATATGTGAAAAAATAAATTATTTTCAGTATTTGTGATTTAAATATTTGTGTATCAATTTTCTGGCCATAGGAATGTGTTCATACCTTTGAAAAATCGTTTAGATCCTTTTATTTATGCTTCACCGAGAACTAAAAGAATTGGTTTAAAAATTATAAATCTTCTCAAACATAATAGTAGTCAGATGTTTTTATATCATTGTTTGCTCACATTATTGTTTTTCAAAGTCAAACTTGCTGTTTGCTTGCTTATTTATTTCTATCATGATGTAATTTCCTGAGAAATTCTGTGCTATGGTACATATTTGTTTTCCTGAGGATCATAATGTAAATAGTAATCTTATTAACCTTGTTCAAATAAAATACGTTTACTTGATACCAGGTCGTTTTGCTGCTTCTTTCAACACTGTGCTTTAAAAACTCTGTATTTAGGCAAGCAAAGGGCTTCCACGCCTGTGCCAATTTTGCAGATCTGTGCCAAATCAAAGAAGCTTATATAAATGTATTGTTTTGGCCTTTTTTGCACCAAAACTGAAATTTGACTTTTTGCACATACTTAAGAAAAATAAGTGCTATTTTTCTTTTTATAGCATAGTTTCATTTTACTTTCTGATACACATGATGGTACTAGGCTTAGTTCGCCATGCCCAAAATCTACTTCCTTTTACGTTATTGGGTAGTGTTATTTTTATGCTAATTTGCAGAAGTTACAATTCTCTACAAAGCTGCTAATCTAAAATTTTAATTGTATGACTTGTAAAATTTCATCAGCAAAACATTTATTTCTACCTTACTATTAACATCCTCCCCACGTTCTCATTTACAAACTGTTTTTTTTTTTAAAAATTTTTTTTTTGTGTGAACTTATAAGAGCGAAATGTAACTTCAAATTAACTTTGGAAACCTAGAAGTCAAAGATAAATTAAGTAATGGCTGTGTTCTGTGAGAATAATCATTTGTCATGGATAAAACTAAGTGTAAAATTCATGATGCAAAAAGTAATTCCAAACATTTAACTTTTGTTTTGAAAAATTATTATAGTGCTCTTTTTGTTTTATTTTCTGCATTTAATCGATCTAAAAAGAAATCTTTTTATTTATCTTGATAGTTGTGTTTATCTGCTATTTACTGCTTCCTGCTATTTGTGTCTTTTTAGATGCAAAACTTGCTCTTTACCTGATACAAATTGATACAAAACATAGATTTTTCTAATACAAACTGATAAAAACTGCTTTTCCTGATACAAAAATTTGTACAATTATTTGATAGTGAGTAGGTATACTTGTTTATTTTAAAATCTTTTTGTTAATTCTTCGCCTACTGAAATTTTGTTTTTACAAAATGTAATATTTGATATATTTTCTATCAAAAATTAATTTCGATTTAGTGTTAAATTAAAAAAAATTATATTTCTGACGAAATATTTCCATGTATTACAAAAATATAAATTAAAATTTTCCTGGAAAACCTGGAAGGGTTAGAGAATTTTATTTCTAGAGTTGAGTGGAAGCCCAGTAGTATTAATTTATTTTTCAAACGAATCCCAAAAATATTCTGCATTTAAAAAAAGAAGTAAGGTACATACAACATATGATTTTGTTCTATGTATGACTAACCTTATCACTTTTTTTTCTCTTTGTGAAGCAGATAAGCAAAATTTTAAGTTTAAAATATCTTGAGTTGGTATTAAATACATTTGGCTTTGTATTAGTTCGTATTATCCACAAATACATAAAATAAAAAAATTGTATTACTGACAGATGGCTACACTATATGGCATATGTTATTTTGAAATGAACAAGAATACAAATGCTTAGAAAAAATAAAAAAATTTTTTTGAAAAAGAACTTCTGCAAAATGTTTTATGTTTATATCGAAGATCCAGCTTAGTATTTATTTGAAATGAAAACTTGGATGGCTCAGGTTTACAAGTCTGTTTAAAAATAAAACTTTTTTTTTTACTTTCCTTTCACCTGCATAAACATTATAAAAATTTAATTACAAAATTTTTCACAAGGGCCATTCTGCTATTATATAAGCACCTAAGGGGGAAGGGGAATCTCAATATGATTATTTTTGCTGACAAGGAGGGTGGAGGTTTGAGCAATGCTTACATAAGACAATAAAGTCCCATTATCGTCAAAAATTGCTTATAAATTTGATAAATAATTATTTAAAAAAACAAATAATAAAATTTGAAAAAATATTACATTTAAAGAAAAAAAAATCAATGAAAAAAATCTATTTTAATATTTATTTTCTTCAGTCCAAAATCAATTTTTTAATCTCTTTCAAATACAAATGATTTCACAAGATAAGGAATAATTAATGATATTCCTAGAACACAATTGGTAATATTCTTCTTACCTGCTATTTGTTATCTATAGAATAGATTTTTTTTTAAAAAAAGAAGCATTCTCACAACAGACCCTTGTAGGTTAGGGAGATCATTGAGGTTAAGGCTTCACAATTTTGAGATCAATTGAATGATTGTGGCAATTTATCTGCTTTGTGCACAAATTGCTTTTACTTCCCAGACAAGCTGGTACCCATCAATCTGAAACTGAGTGGGCTTCAAACCGCCACTAGGGACTGAATCCCAGTTCTTCACTATGGCAGTTCTGTGCCTTAACCTCTGAGCCATCACAGCTCTATTCAGTAGATGTAAATGCTTAAAATTGAAGTTAAAACATTGTGAAAAGCTGTGTTTCATAAAATTAGGATCCAGAAATTTGATTATACAGATTTTTAAGGAAAATATTTGAAATGTGAAATTTTTATAACTATCATAAAAATGCTTAATATTAGATTATTATTGCTAAATCTGAAAATCTTGCTTTAGCACAGGTGGGCTTGCAGTTAGTTAATTTTGCTTACAAGAGAGCAGGGGTTAAAAATAAGAAAAGGATGCTTATGTAATAATTGGATGGCCCCATATGAAATGCAATCACAAAAAAAAAAAAAGGTTTTTGCAAAATAAAATTTCTTCAATTCCAAATGTAAGTTAAGAATTTTTAGAAAATTTTTGAAAGCTAAAGTAGAGGGAGAGGTCAGCTTATAATCGGATTCACTAACTTTGAAAAAACCAGGTGAACATTGCCAGCAGGAATGTTTCTTTTTTATCCAGCTTTAGTAATAATCAGTAAATATCATGAAATGTACATGCAAGACATAAAATTGCATAAAATAATAGTTGAAAACGAAATGACTAAATATAAAGATTGAGAAAGACTACATTTATCCTTGACATTATTACTTTTATGAGCTCAAATTGAGAAAAACTACCATCCATCCTTGACTTTATCAGTTTTATGAGCTAAGAATGAGTTCCTAAGCACCACAGCACGCTTTTTAAACACAATGCTGTTTCTTTAGTCCTTGGTAATTCTTTAATTTGGCTTTATGCCAAGTAGAACTATGGCTGATGTTAATCCTTACTGGTTAGTGAAAAGCCTGGAGGCAGAGAGAAAGGGAAACAAAAACAGATTGGGGCTGATGATCTGACCTTAATTCATGCCGCTCAGCTGCAATGTTTGTTTAGAAAAGAAAAAGTACATTTTTATTTCCAAGCATAGTATGCCTTATTTTTTTTTGTCTGGTTATATGCAAATTTTAAATTTTGGGGGAATTTCCAATTGAAAAACACTTTTTGACTTATATATAGCTGGGCTTATATTCGGAAATATATGGTAACATTTCTTTCTGAATAGTTTTTAATTCCAGTCTTTTCCTTCCCAGAAAATAATGACTTGGCTACTATTTTACAATACAATGATCGAGAACCATTACAATTTTTTACTTTCTACTCAGTGAATATGAATTCCATAAAATAAAGATATTTTGTGCTGCCATATTTTGCCACTTTGAAAATTAGGACTACTCTAGGGTTCGGAAGGTTTGGATTTCAGAAATTTACAGACATCTTACTTTTAAAAAAAAGAGATATCAAAGTTGTGGGACCAAAATTAAAAAAATATATTTGATTCTTTCAAAGTTTTTATAGATTTTCAGTTATTTTTTGATAGTTCTGTTCAATCGATTTCCATATATTTTTTAAAATCTCTAAATTTCAATTTAGTATTACGAAATGCAAATAACACGATTAAGTAATCTCTTTTTGAAGTGTTCTATTTGCCACAATTTATTCATTAATTCACTTAGTTATTTTAGTAGCTTTTATGACAGTTATTTCAAAAATTTTCCACATGCATTCAATATTTTATAGGGTACTATTACAACCGACAAATTTCCAATCTCCCACTTGAGCAATAATTTTTTGATGAGCTTGATTTCATTATAAATATACATGGTCTTATCAATCATTTTTTGCAATAATTGCTGCATATTTTTTTATAATCCCAATATTACAATGTTATTATAATTGAGTAATTATTTTTTGATAGTCTTGATGCACTACAGTTTTATTGTAAATTCACATTGTTTTTATGGATAACTCTTGTCAGGTATTGCTAAGATTTTCATCAAGTTCTTAAAATCCCAGTATATTTTATTTATTCACTGTTAATACAATACACATGTACTTACACATTTCGTTTAAAATAAATTAAGCTTATTTTTATCTCATCATGAGATAAAAATAAGTTTCTGTTTTATTGAGGTAATGTATTTGTTACTACTATATATTTTTCTCTAGGAATTTGTGTCTTAAAGGTTTATGGTTATATGTGTGGACATATATATAGTAAAAGTAGTACCTACAATTATCGCCTTCCTTTAAAGTTTCGTTTATTCAATATCATTTTATGTGGTTGATTCAATGATTTATAAAAGAATTTTAAAATAATAAAAGTATTTTGTTTTCATAATTTTATGTTGATAATTTTGTGATTAAATATATATATATATATATATATATCGTATCNCATCCCTATATATATATATATTTTATACTAATGTTCTTTTTTTCTCTATCTAGGTGTTTGTTCCCAAAAGCTAGTCATTTTACTTTGCTGAATAGGTTTTCTGAACTCTAATAGCATATTTCCTACTAATAATTTATTTTATTCGTTCATATAAGTAACAATAAGTATTATGCTTAATTTTGATGGTTAAGGGCTATTCAAATATTACATACACTCCTAAGGATATTGAATTTGCTAATTTTTGCTGACAAATGGTGAGACGCTTTTGACTTTTGCTTAAATAAAATATTACTCAAATTTATGAAGGTAATATCAATTTGTAATCAATCGTTTTGTATTAAATAATTGATTCTTTTTGTACTTAGATAGCAGATAACTTAATAATTCTCCAGCATTCCTATGAATCATCTGGTCTAATTAGTGCTTGAATCACATTAGAGTTCTGCATGAGCTTCTGCATGTCAGAATTTACTAGAGATATTATTCGATTTCTTTAATAACATTCAAATAATCTTAAATTAAGTCTGGTAACAATAAAGTGTATGCTAATTTTTACTTCAGCTGATTTTCAAGTTTATTGCAAGCAAATTAAGAATTGTTTTGATTTATGTTTGACTATAAAATGCTTTGATCAGATTTTTTTAAAACCTTATATAAACAAAGAGTGGGTGATTTGCTTATTTTTGTTGACCAGGAGAAGAAGAGTTTCAAAATCTGACTATGCTTTTGTAATATTTGAACAACTCCTTAAGAAGAGAAATGTCTAATTTGTATATAGAACAAAACAGCCATTAGAGTAAATCAGGTGCAGCAAGTAACTTTATGTGAGGTTCATATACTTTTTAAAATTTTTATCAAGGTCCTGAATAGTGACTTGTATTCCTTTATCAATTTATTTTATTTTTCTCTCATTGTTATCTCTTATCTGCTTTATTCTTTCAAAATTTTTTCGGTAGTTAAGTTTTTGACGTACCTTGGTCCATGCTCAGACCAACAGTTGCCAAACTTTGGAGTAATTCTATGTGTATTCATGTTTATAATATCTAAAATAATTGTTATTTGTTAAAATATCTGTGTCTACCAAGTTTTTTTATTTATTTTAATTGCGTATTTCTTTTTGAAATGCTTTGCTACTTATTTGGAAAAATTCTATCTCTTGAATTGTTAACATTGTGAGTGAAAAATTTTTTGTTATTAACCAATTCACTTATTTATGTATTCTGAATAAAGAATTTAATTTGTTGACTTTTTACTGTGTAGTTAAAACAACATTTTTAAATATTTTTCATTTTTTTAACTGTTATATATGCTTAAAATTTTCTTTGTCTTAAAAATATATTATATTGAGGCTCACTACCTTGTTTTAATTAGATGAAACATTAGATGAATTAGAAGGGAATATGTCCATTTTTTTACAGTTAATTTAAATATACTCTCATATTTTAAATTATGTATAAACGTTTCTAATTACTTAACTGTATATTTCATTGCTGAAGAGTTTGTATTTTATCATAAAACTAACATTTTCCTGTCGTATTACACTGAAGGAAGTACAGAATTTTTTTTCTGTTTTATGTATTGGGACCAAGTGCATGTTACTACTCAGTTTGGTGATTCCACTCTAAATGTGCTTTTTGGGTAATGCTGCATTTTGGTGAAGAACAATTCCTTTAAAATATAGATTTTGCACCCCTCAAATTTTAACAAAAACATGCATTCTTGTCGAGGGTAATTAAATGGTACCAATTGTAAAATATTGATTACTCTCTGTAAAATTACGAAGTCATGTTTGATATGATGTATGTTAAAATTATTGATAATCGTAATTAATGGAAATATAAACAATGTGTAAAAGCAAATATTTTAATTACAGTTAGACCTCGATTATCTGAGATAATTGGGACCGCTAGTACCTCGGATATCGGAAATCTCGGTTAATAGAAACCATGTATAAAAACCGTACGTGCTTGCGAATTTAACTACTGTTAAAGTAAAAAACAATGAAACGTTTTTTAAATGATAAGTTAAACATATATGACTTATGTTTCACAGCTAAAAAGATTTAAAAAGGAAATCAACTCTTGTTGTAAATTTTAAAAAGTAAAATGGAATTTTTTTTAACTATACGTAGTTAAATATCGAAAGACGCATTCTCAAAAATAGCACAAATCTCAAAAAAATATTGTATTTTTAAAATTTAATATACATTAATTTGTTAAATTCACATTCTTTTAAAAAAGTCTGTTACCTTTCGTTGCAAAAGTCCAGAATTTCTATCATGGGCTGCCCTATAGCGCCAATTTTTGAGCAATAGGAGATCCATCGGTTAACAGAAACCTCGGTTAATCGAAGCTCGGTTGATCGAGGTTCTACTGTAGTTTGATCTCAGAATAAAGTCTGAAATATATTTTACTTTAGATAACTTTAAATAACCACCTTTGTTTTCTGTTTTTTTGTTTAAATGAAAAATCAGCATGATTGCAGCACATGTGATCAGTCAACAAATAAAATTAAGAAAAAGGAAATATAGACATGAAATTAAATGTATTGAAATACAAGTTTATTGGAAAATTCAATCCCAATCTTCAAAACTATCAAAGAAAAATCAAAATAGTTGAATTCGTCTAAACACTCATCATTAAGATGGTTAGTTTCCTGGTTTACATCATTACCCAGGAACAAAGAAAATCATCATTACTTCCCCCAAAATGAGAGGGAAACTGCACTCTCTCATGCTGAACTAGTTTTTTCTAATCTTTTTTAATTATTCTAGGAATGCAAACCCCTTTCTACTATTCATTCATCCATCCTCACTCTCTCTCTCCTTCAGTCTTACATCATTAACCAGCAATGAAACAAAGATCTTTGCTTCTCTGAAAAAAAGAACACAACTATGCAGCCCTCATTCAGTTTTTACTCTTGCCCTTAAATAATTCTAAGAAAGAAAGCACTTCCACTTCTTTCTATTATTCATTCACCCGCCCTTTTTATTCCGTATCTGCTGCTCCAATTCATCTTTATTTTTCTGTGAAGCAATTTCACCTTAAGAAAGTTATTAAAAATATCTGCTTTCAAAAGTAGATAGTGGAAGATCCTTTATTCGGTATTGATAGCTTGTACCAATGCTTAAAAATTTGCAGGTTTGGTATAATAAGGTATACTTTTTCTTTTAAGGCATTTAAAAATCCACTTATATATTTAACAACATACTTGCACCTCATAATGGAATAAAAGATTCTACATAGCAAGTATATTCTTCAAAACTGTATGTTCTTTCTTATTATGGGGAAGTTAAGTGAAAGAACAAGAGCTCAGATGTTGACCACATTATTTGAGTATCAAATTTTAAATTTATGTGAGGATCCTACCATTGGATGCTTAGAGATACAGCCTTGGATTAAAAGAAAAGGGTCACATGCTTGGTCAATTCTGTTTTTTTTTCCAACAAAATATTTAAAAATAAGCATGTAACAAGTTTTTTACTCTGAAGTTTAAGTTAATAATAATAAATATTGAGTTAAAATTGTTCCATTATTGGTCATTTTATTTTTCAATCCTCATTATATTAGCAAAATGTATCAACTCAAAATGATTAAGTACATTGACCAATTTAAAAAAAATGATCGATAAATAATTTTGACATTACTTTTATTATAAGGTAATAATGAATAAATTATGAATAATAACAAATAATGTATATAATGCTATTAAAGTATATTTATGTGTTATGAAATCCTAAAATATGTCGATAATTAATATCTAAATATTCTGTTATAATTTTTCATTGTTCTTGATTATTAGTATGAGTGAGATTAACATCTCATCCCATGTAACTCATTGAGTTTTAATTGCCATATACCTGTATCATGCTATTTCATCCATGTTTTTTTAATAGTAGTGTACACTTAATAAGAAGATTAAAAATATTGACACTATTATATTTTAAATTACTTTACTCAAACAATTACAAATGCAAACATTTATCATTACTTGAATTTGTGAAATACATTATTTCAAATTTTATATCAAGAAATACAAATGTGACATAGAGTATTTGGTATGTTTTGTTTTTTAAAGTCATTAACACCTTAAAAATATTTTCCCTGTATTTCAAATATTTTTCTCTTTTTTTTTTTAATACTGTTAATAATATGAACATTATTATTAACAGTATTGTTACAGAAATACAGTAATTGAACATTGTTAATAATATGAACAATAAATGTATGATTATTATTTTTTTCGCAGTCTGTCTCTCGGTACTTTATCTACAGTAATTACTTTCGTGCTCTGCTTCTTGTTTTTGTAAAAGAAATATTCTACTGCTAGGGCCATTACTGCAAGTACAACTCCAATAAGAATGACAATGAATACGCCACCTGAAATGTTAAGATACAGCAAAATATTAATATAACAGCTATGTTGATCTGCGTATATTATTTCTTAAATTTACTAAATTAATCTTTATTATTAAATGTTTGTTCTTATTAAACATTTATTTTGTAAAAGATTTATTTTCCTTTTTAATCTTTTATGTTTTTGGAATTGCCTTTCAAAGGCTAAATACTTTGAAAATTATTGTTAATTTTATAAAATGGTGTAAAACAGTTTTCCCTGAATTTAATAAAATTCAGTATATTTTTTTCTAGAAAATCATGTTTTAACTTAAATATATTTTTGTATTAAGAATACTAAATTTTAAATTTTATATAAAATATTTTTTTATGAATCATTTCAAAAAAGTCACCTTTTTTTAAATCAATTTTTAAAGTTCAAAAACTGAGAAAATTTAGACAGTCGATGTTTTCTGTGATTTAAAAATAAAAATTTAACAGAAAATCCATCAGTGAAAATTTAGATTACCTATCTTTTCAGCTTTTCAATTTTTTTTAATGTCATATAATCATCTAATGAGGTAATTATGTTGTGAAAACCATCTACACTGGTTATCATAAATTAAGGAAAATTCACAAAAATCGCGATAACTCAAGAAATTACACATGGAATTTTATGAAACTTACCCACAATATACAACACATAGTAAGGTATTAAACAACATAAAAAGAAATTATCAGACATTAATAGTAGTATAGAAATTAGCACATGTATAAAATAAACAAATTGGAAGTATCGGTTTGCAATAGAAAAAGTACCTTTAATATGGAATATGATTGCCTCTAGAAGCAATACAGCACAAACAGCGATGTGTGATGCTTTCAATTATGCGGTCTATCAGTTCAATAGGAAGTGAGAGCCATTGCTCTTGTAAAGCAGTTGCAAGCGTGGCAAGGGTCTGAGGGGGCGGATTGATGGCAGATACACGCCTCCCTAGAGCATCCCAAACGTGCTCGATAGGATTCAAGTCCGGGGATCGAGCTGGCCACTCCATGCGAGTAATTGTTTCCTGTTGAAGATAATCATCAACAATGCGAGCTCTGTGTGGTCTTGCATTATCGTCCTGTAACAGGAAGCAATCACCAATTGCCCCGGCATATGGGCGCACATAAGCATCAAGGATGTTGTCTCGATAAACCTGAGCATTCACGGTTCCCCTTGGAAAGACATGGAGGTATGTGCGCCCTCCTAAGGATATGCCTCCCCAAACACAGACACTGCCTCTTCCGTATGCATCTCTTTCACGGATGTTTGATGGATGATAACGGGTCCCAGGTTCTCTCCATATCAAATAACGTCTACTGTCACTTTCTAGACTAAACCTGGACTCATCCGTAAAGAGAACAGGCCTCCATTGATCTGACGTCCAGTGGACATGTTGTCGGGCCCACTGCAAACGGTCTCTCCTATGGCGTGATGTGAGCGGCACGCAAATGGCTGGTCGTCTCGCATACAGACCACCTTCGTGGAGCCTTCTGCGCACAGTTGACGTTGACACCAACCTTCCGGTGGCTGCAGCAAGAGAGGATCTAAGATGTGTCGGAGTAGCGGTTCTATTCCTGCGTGCACTTAATGTCAAATATCGGTCATCGGCACTGGTCGTAACAGTTGGCCGTCCTTGACTGAACCTCCTAGATGCCGAATCTGTGGTTTGAAATTGCCTCCAAAGTCTATGAACCACAGATGGACTCACATTTAGCCATCTGGCCACTTCTGATTGACTCTGCCCTGCCTCTAGTCTCCCGATGGCTCTCCATCGTAGTTCTTCAGGCAAATGATGCCTAGAGGTCATTATTACGAATTGGCTATCTCAGATTTTCAATGTCGCAATCACAGTAAAATTTGTGTGCTTTCTCTCAAACTTGGACTTTTATGCTCCAGGCAGATGACGTAAGCCGAGTGCAGCGCCACTAATTTGCATATTGCAATTTTACTCAGCTACTCTTAGTGGACAACATATGCAAATTTTGCACGGTTTGGCTTACTTTTGAAAGAGTTATCACTATTTTTGTGATTTTTCCTTAATTTATGATAACCAGTGTATATTGTATAATATTTAAGGGAAAAAGGGTTTCCATAAATGTTACTTATAATTTTTTTTCAACTGCCAAAGTTACTAATTCTCTGCAATAATATCCTATATTTTTATCATTAATTGAATTTCATTTAATATCTTCAAATCTTTATTCTTTGGTTTGGAATTCACTGTATACATTGCAGAATTTATAACTGAAATTTATTTAATAGTTATAACTTGCCTATGTTAGCAATGCTAATTCCATCACTTTGTTGCTCACTGTCATCACATTCTAGTTTGGCTGGATTTTTATTCCACCACTTTTCTTTTAAGCCTTCCAGTTTTCTTTGATTCAAAAGTTTCAGTATACTGTGGGAAAAGTGTTACAATTAGCAATAAGTTCTAGAGAGATAATTGATGTCTTATAATTGGTGAATGAAAAGTGTGGCAAATTTTGTAAGACTACTTCATAATTTGTTGCTAAGGATCAATATTTCTAATTTCTAGAACACAGTGTTTGTGGAAGAGATGAGTACATTTTCGAATTTCTTATATTTATTTGTTCAGTAAAATCTGGTAATATGAGAGTGATGATTTTTCCTTTTATCTAATATTGAGATTTTCATATGCTGAATTTGGTTTTCATGATTTAAAGGACTCTCCTAAGAACTGTTCATTTAGTGGCAGAGCTCAAAAATTATATTGCCTGACATGCCCCGTGTAAAAATTCATATTTTTTTACTCTCCCAGAAGGACATGCAAATATTTAAACAGAAATATCAAAAAATACCAACTCCTCTAATCTTGCCAAAAACTGACAAGAGGCTCTGTGGGGTATAAACAGCATCAAAGGGAGATAGAAAAAAAAGAAAATTGACTATATGTCATAAGACTTAAATATAATTGAATTTATTTATATAAATAAGAATTTATTAAACATCATTTTGAAGTAACATGCTTTTCCCAATAATACTACTTATATACTTGTTAATATTAATTCCTTCTTTATGTTTATTACTATTAATTAAGTTAAGAAATTTATGCAGAAATAAAATTTTTTGGAATAAGCAAATAGTCTCTTTTTGGATTTAGAATCCTTAAAAGTATAAAGAGAGTTACAATTTAAAAAATTGGAGATCAAAAGTTCAACCCTTATAATGCTTTTTTCATTTGTGACTGTCTTGACAGCTATTGTAGCAAATCAAAACTTTTATTGATAATTATTATACTAGTTTTCTAATATTTTTTAGTAATTATTTAATTGAATTATTATGATATAAAAGATATCCAAATCTCAATGTGCACAATTTTTTTTTGATGAGAATTTTTGTTTTAAATAAGTCAGGAACAGATAACTAGAAAAATCTATTTAATAACATATTTGTAAATTGTTTTTTTATTTGTTCATTTGTATCCAAAGAAATACAACCATTAAAAATTTAATATTTTTTAATTAAATCTTTTTAAAGGTGTTAAAAATTAAATGTTTTTTTTAGTGTTATATTGAATGCTTTGAAATACTGGATTTTAGCAGAAAAATACATAAATTTAAGAGAATGTTTTATAATTCAAAAATATTTAATTATTCAAAGTAATGTATGATTATTCAAAATAATGTATGAATAGAAAAAGGATAACATGTTTAACTTATTTTAACTGACCATTTAAATAACTGAATATCATAAATGATTTATTATTAATTAGTTGTACATTTTTTTTACTCATTAGTTCCAGCTTAGTTTGTTTTTGCAAAATATGCTATAGATATTTCATTTTGTAACTGTCATTGAACAGCCGACCCAATTTTCGGGTTTACGACTTCTAATGCTCAACTCCATAACCTTGTAATTTTGAACCCAATCCGGAAGACGAGGGAACTACTGGATCAAGTATAGGGAGAAATTTGTTTTTGTGGAGGACTTTTTATTGGAACTAACCCGCATTTGTGTTACATGGAGAGGAAGACCAAGAGAACCTTCCATGGTTAGCCTGACAGCAAAGGGACTCTAACCCATGATCCGTCTACCACTGAGGATGTTTCATGTCAGTACTGTGGTCCGGATGTGGATTTGTACCGACTAGCCATTGTCAGGATTCGAACCCAGTTCACCTCATTGGAAGGCGAACGCCTTATCCTCTGAGCCATCGCGTCTCATGCTATAGATATTGTACATTTAGATATTTATCTGTATTCGTGTAAAAAAATAACTGTTTTTAATTATCGAAAATTTAAAGATTGTATAAGATACTCACGCACTAGATAGCTGATCTTTTAAGGGAGAACCTTGTTGTACTGCAAGAGCAAGTGGTTTCCTACTAAATTCACTTCCAACAGATATCAGATCACAGTTAGTCATAACAGCATATTTTACTTGAGTTGAATCCGCTTTGAAAGAAATAGTTTATATTTAAAATAAGCCAAAGAAAATACTAATTTGTTATTGGAATTGTTTATACTTTCATTGAAAAAAAAGTTAATTTAGAATATTGCAAGCTATTAAAATGGACCAAAAAACAAGCCAAAATTTTCTCCTTATATTGAAACAAATTCAAGAAATGTTTTCATTCTCTTTTTGCTTTTGCGAGAAATATTTTCATTCTATTTTCTATCTTTTTTTAAAAGCATTGTTGTATTTAAAGGTTTTTGGTTATCATAAGTGTGTTAAGAAAAGTACAACATCAATAAATTTTTAAAAATTTAACTTAAAATAAAAATGGCTTTTAAGAATCATTTGTGTTCATATAACCACCTCAAAGATTTCAGAACTAATTTTAAATTGCTTTAATTAAAATTTGGAACTCCCTTTATGCCTGCCCATCTTTACTTTAATTTTTGCATTATTTTTTTTCCAGAAATTTCAATATATTGTTTTAATAAATAAATTTAATTTTTGTTTGCTTTTTTAAGAAATCTTATTGATTGTTTAAGAAATAAAAACAAAAATGAGAAATGTGCAATAATTGCACATGTCTTTTTAATTGCAAACAGAATAAAAAAAAGCAGACAAGCCAAAGCAACCAGTTTAAAGAACAATATTACCAATGTATTCTCATATACATATTACCGTTTGTTGTGTATATATTTTTGTGAGTCAATTATCTTAAGTTATTTCACCAATCTTGAATTCTGTTTTTTTTTAGGCAAAATGTTTCTAAACTATAACTGTATATATATAAGCTTTATGCTTTACTTTTTCAAAATTGTTATTTAAAATAAACTTGCCTCATATAAACTTTAAAGAAAGCCATGCAAGTATATAATAACTTTTATTGTAAATTTTCAAATAAAAAACTGTTTCAAAAAATTGACCTACTAGCAAACTTCCAGCTTTTTTGCAATATCTTTTTTTTCTTTCCTACTAAATATTTTCTTGAAATAGTTTTTTTAAAACTTTTATTCTCGTATTTTTGCTAGTAATAACTATTTTCAGATTAAGAAAAGAATGTCTTAAATTTTCTTTCCCCCCCTTTTTTTTGTTATTGCTCTCAAACATTTAAAAATTCTTAATTAAATTAAACAAACAAGAATCTGAAGAATTGTATCAAAATATTCATTTTTTAGCAAAAAAGATCAAATTAAGTAGAAAAATTAAAAATTTCTCATTGTGAGTGAGGATTCTCACAAACTGTACATCTTATACAGTGATAGAAAAATACTAAGGTAGCGCCAAATAAGGTAGCATCATGAATCTAGATACATTTTTCAAATCATAAACTCAAAATTTAGGCTTTAAAAACTTTTAGTTCACATAAAAATGCTTTTAGTTTTTAGGATGAAAATATTTTAATTTGAAATGCTATACAGAAGTACTTCTGGTCCTATATTACAACAAATACACTAAAAAGTTAAAGTGTAATAGATGATACTGAAAAATACTTCATTATTCAATATACACTAATTTTACAGATTCCTGTAGATGAGATGAAGTTGGCTACTAGATTTAAGCATCTATATTGCAACTAAGTTGTAAGCACATATTTTTTCAAAAATTATTATAAAATTAAAAACGTTATAAATATTGTTTTAAAGCTTCTTTGTTTAGTTATAAAGTTTTTATTATTAATCCTACTTTTTAATTATAATTTTAGTTGTCCATTTTATTTGCTTAAAAGATAAGCAAGCAGGTTTCGTGATTTTTTTGATTTTTTTTAAAGAATCCAAAAAATCAGATTTTTTTTTATTTAAATCGGATTTTTTTTATTTAAATCAGATTTTTTTTATTTAAATCAGATTTTTTTTGATTTTTATTCAAATACACTGTAAGAACTTTAATTTATGATTAAAAAAAGTTTATAAATGCTTAATCAAAATTAAATTAATATTAAAATATATTATAACAATATTTAGAACAATATTTTAACTTACTAAAATAATTTTTCATTATAATACATAGCTTTGAATGCATAGCAACCATTTTGAAACAAATGCATGATTGAAATTTAAGGACTAGTTCAAATAGAAAATTTAAAGAATACTTTATGGGTCTGTCTAGGTTTTTCTGAGAGATAACTATCTTGTGAAAATTCAGACATAATTTTTGAAAATTAAAGATTTGGATTTATCGTTTCTTACGAGACACAAAAATAAAATTTTAAGAAAAAAGTATTTTGTGAAATTATTCTACCGTTTTTCCTAAATTTAAATTTGTGCTGGTACCGGTAAACGGTAGAAAATTTCACTTGGACAGACCCCTGTACTTTAACTATTAAAACAAAGTTTCAATTAGCAAACCATAATTTTAATTTAAAATTTCTTTTTTTTTCCGCTTGATTTTTAAAATGACAAAATAAATGTAGAAGATTGTGTTTATAAATGTAGTCATTCATCAAAAAAAAAATATTTAATCTATATATTTTTATATTAAAATATTCACTTTTAATTCTACATCAAAATAGATAAGTTAGGCTAAAAATATTTTTTTTTAAAAAATCTATGTACTCATAGGAATTTTTTTTTTTACTAAATTTCATTATAGAAAATCGGATGTCAAAGATACTGCAAACATATTATGAGAAAAAATACCAGTTAATAACCCTACTGCTTCAAATAGACTTTGAAAGAGTTTGAAAGGGAGGAATGACACTATATCAGGAAAAAAATATCTGAATTTATTGGCCTTTTTTTTTCTTTCTATTTTTGGCAAATTAGGTATTTTCTTTTTAATATGCTTTAAAAAAAGCTTCAGAAATATACATTTTCCACCAATAAAATATAATGTAGATTTTAATTCCATGCTTTTTCTTTCAAAGGGTAGAATTTTAATTAACAATATTTACATTATTTTTTGAAAAAATTCATGTTTAATAATTACTTTCTACAGCTATGCAAGTCTATATTAAGACAGCATTAAATGTTTACTTTAATCTGTGCTTTCAATCTCAAGAATCAAAAGACTTTTAAAATTGTAATTTTCAATATGTTGGAATTTAACACACACCAAGAAAGAAAGTAATTTCGTTAACTAAAATTAATTAATGCAACAATTTATTTAAAATAAATTTTGAAACTAAGAAAAGAAAATAATAAAAGTATCAATAATTTAAAACACTGTTTTTTAACTTTTATAATCAATTATATTAAAAAAAATTAGTTGATTTGAATCAACAAACCCTGTATGCAAGTAAGCGAATTTTTGTTTTAAGTTAAATCAAACACGCGTTTCAATAGTGAGGTATCCACTTACTTTTTTGCATAGTAATTAGGGTTTTATTTCAATATAATTTACATGTTCTGGGGCATTTTATTTTTTAATACGTATTTTGAATTTGAAAGTAACTTTTTCATATAATAACATTTTTAGTTTTATTTTATATATTTTAATATGCAGTTTCTAAAAAGAATTCATTCATTATTCTTTATACCAATGAAAGCAAAACCCTCTTGAGATCCTTTCGATTCCATCACTTTTTGTATTCCATCCTCAAATGATTTAGGCATGCCAGTTTCTTGCATGGTCCACCAAATTTTTGTAAATTTGTCACTCACTGGATAATCCCAAACAGCTAACTTAGCTCTTTCCGTTTCATTTAGAGAGTCGTCCAAGGACATATTTTTCCATATTCTAAAAAAAAGTTTAATTTACTAGTTTCATTAATAACAGTGTGATTTACTTAATGTGCATAATTAAACCATTTTTGAGATTTTTATTACAATAATCAGTTGCAAGGATGCCAGTTACTATGTAATTTCTGCAGATTTTAGTTCCTATTATGGAATGATGAATAGTTTTTGAAAATCAAATCAATTTTTATGATTGTAATAGCTTCTAATTTTATTATAGACTTTTTTTTAAATAAATTTATGAATGATCCCTTATTTTATTTTTTTGCTCTTGGTGACATGCTCTTAGTTTATCACATTTTGAAAAATTTATAAATTTATTTCATCAGTAATTAAATTTGTAGCTAATTTTATGATTGTTCTCATAAACTGTAATTGTTAATTTTCTCACAATAAAAAATTCATGGCTAATCTTATTGTTTGGAAAAAAATGTAACTTGCAAGACATTAATGAAGTGCTTTATTTTGCATTTTAGTTTTAATATGGAATCTTTATTATCACAGAAGATTAGGTCCACTACTGTGAAAAAGGTGGGCATCTTTTGATTGGAGTAAAATACTTAGTACATTATTATATATATACAGGGTGTTCAAAAAAGAAAAAAAATGATCAAATAACTTGAGAAACACTTCATATTTAAAATCTATAAGTACACATGAAATATTTTCAAACTATGCATTCAATGATACCTAACTCGACCCCCATCCCTAATCTCATCTTTAGATGGGGCAAGAGCAACTTCATAATTTTAAATAGAAACCATTTTTTATTGCAAATTTAGATTTTCTAGAAAAGTACCCTATTTTAACTTGCCGGCTGTTGCATTTTAATTCATAGGTGGTGCTGCAATTGTGAAGTGAAGATGGCGTAAAAATCGTTTAAAATAGACTTATCTCGGGAAATACATGTTTAATCATAAACACAGATTTAATAAACTCGACCCCTCCCCCGTCTTTAAACTAGGCACCATTCCCTGGGAGGTCAAAATTGTATAAATCATTCACAGCGAGCGCGATATACAAATTCTCTAGTTCTGAATTTAAAGAGAGCTGTGTATTACTCATAGAATTTTTCTTCAATATATGCCATTCTTTCAAAATATGTTGCTGCAGATGTGCTCATTTGTGGTGCATATTTTATTTTATATTGCTTTGCGAGATCATCAAGAGATTCAATGGGAGAATCCAAACGTGATACAGTGAGAAAAGCAGCTAAATTGGCAGTGTAAGAAGCTATAATAATGAAACCAAATAGCCACCAGGTAGCTGCAACTAATCTTCCAGACAAGTTACGAGGAGCTTCACCACCCCCTGAAAAAGATAAATTTAAAAAAAATTTAATATTCTGAAAATGCATTTTGTAAAAATTTTTATTTCATGTTTTCTGACCTTGGGGTGTTAACGATGTCATACAAAACCAAAGACTTTCTTTTAAAGTAAAATCTCTTTTCTCTTCATCATCAAAATCTTTATACTTTTCTTTGTTGTTGAAGTAACTGTAAGGACTTAAGCGATCAAAGCAGTACATGAGGAAACTGAAAGAGATAATAAATAATTAATTTTACAAATAAATAATTTTACAAATCCATATGATGTCTAATAGTATTGCTTGGTAGAATTGTATCTTGGTAGGTTATTCGTGGAAATTTTTTTTTTACATAGAAGTCATTAAATTTACTTTAAAATTTTACTGTGATTTTACATTATTGTGGATGAGTATATGAAAATGAAAGTTGTTTCCTATAAAGTTCCAGTTTCCCTGTCTTGTGTACCTTACTATATTATGATTAAAAATCTTTTAACTGTTGTTTCACTCTTTATAATTATGTATGACGTTGAAAGTACGAAAACAAAGCAGTATTCGCACTTACGCTTATTTTAAACTGCTTGAGTTACTCTTTAATAGAAAACACATGATTTTATTTTTTCATTTTGCGTCATAGCTAATTGTTAACTGACCTTATTGCCAAAAAATAAATATTTCCTCAAAGATTTAAAAGATTAAAGGATGCCACCTTTAACACCTGCAGATGGACTGATATTTTCTTTCTCACTAAAAAAAGAGCAAAGTCTATTAGGTAATAGAATTGGTTGAAATTCTTTTCTGGCTGCGAAGTTAGAGGCAAATACACTCTATAACAAAAAAATCGACGCACCAAGAAGGAGTTATCCGATTGAAACGAAAATTGGTGGATAGGAAGACAATGTACAGAATAGTAAATGATTCAAATTTCAGAATAATTGAATAATTTATTGCAGAGTTACAGTAACAAGTTCAATAAGGTGTTGACCCGCCTTTAGCCTGGATACAAGCTGCCACGTGGCTTAGCATAGACCGATAAAGCTCCCGGATGGTCTCTTGCGGTATTTCCTGCCAAATTCGATCCAATTGTCGAACGAGGTCATCAACATTCCGTGCCAGATGCAATCGCCTTCCCATCATATCCCAGACATGCTCGATGGGAGAGAGATCTGGTGATTTGGCAGGCCAAGGAAGAGTCGATTTTTTTGTTATAGAGTGTATTTTCGTAGAGAACATAACAAACGTCTACACCCATCACGCGTTCTTTATTGTTACCTATCCAGCATTCTACAATGATTTGGATATTATTAAAATTTATAACTGGTCCATTCTTCTATGGATATACTGTATACAACTTCGGAAATAATTTTCTTCTATAGATATACTGTATATTTATTGTATGATTTAAATATTATTAAAGTTTATAATTGGTCCAACCGAAGACTCCCCGCGTAGTAAAATGGTAACTGATGCGCGTTAAATCTGTCGAGTCGCGAAGTCCTCCATGTTCCCATAACAAATCAAAACCTCTGGGGGTACTGAATTGGAGATTGATCGTTCTCTGATTCAGGTCAAAATTACGATCTGTGGATAAATGAATGGGTGAGACGTATTTGTGTGGCAGAAGTCGAATTCTTGGGCATAGATGGCGCCACTGGAAAACAAGAACAATCGCACCCTTCTGCCTTAACAGGTAGAGAGAGAGAGAGAACTGGTCCATTCTTCTATGGATATACTATATATAACTTCGAAAGTATTTTTAATTTCTTTAGAAGCATTCGTAGAAATAATGATCCATAAAAAGAATGTCTTTTAGTCATTATACTAATGTTATAAAAAAGGATCATTTAATTTTATGACAAGTTATAACTTCACTCGAGTACCGTCTTTATGCATAGGTATAGCCGGGCACTGCCCGTGGGCCACAAATACTCGAAGGGGGGGGGGAGAAACTTTCCTACGTTTAATATATCACCCTACCTACTTTCGAAAAATTGTATTTTAAAAAGAAAGGAGAAATGTATGGCCTCATAAATTTTAAAAGAAATATATTCTATTGAATAAATATAATGAACGAAAAATATATTCAATTGAATAAATCTATTCTAATGAATGTGTAATCATATTTATAATACATTGAGTATATTATGTAAGTACAGTACCAATGAAAAAGATAAGTATTAAAGTGAAAGAAAATTATTTCATGTCTCATGATTTTAAGTATATTAGTTTAATGTAGAGTTGACTAATTTAAACCAATGTTATTTTAGTCATATATATATATAAACTTTTTTTTTTTTAAAATTTTAATTATTTATATAAATACTTTTAATTTGCCAAATATGAAATTTTTCAACAGTTTTTTTTTTAATTTTGAGTTTAATTGCTAAAGGAAGTCTTGTCTTACTTTAAATAAACATAATTGTGTAATTTTTAAATGCTTTCATATTGCGTTCCCGCAAAAATATCTCAGTAGAACAAATTAATACGAGAAAGTTTTAGGTTAGGTCATGTCTCTAAAAATGTTTCACCAATGCTAAAAAGACAATAAAAGTTCGCAAAGTTAGTTTAAAATAGTTTAATAGTTATTAAACTTTTACATTTTGCTAGTAATATCTTTTATGCATTTAATTATTTTAAATAGCTTCTACGGTTTTGAAAACTGTTTAAATTTTAAGTATTGAGGATTACAAATGGTTACTATCTCAAAATTTTAAAAATTATGTATATTAAAACTGATTAATTTTATGTAAGTGAATTTTGGGTGGCTCGATTTTAAACAGTATTACATTTTATAGGGGCCCTGCATGCCATTAAGACGGCCTTGATTTCATTGCTAAAATTTTGACTGCTTGTTATAAATCTACACGTTAGAGAAAATTGATTTTCTGTTACAAGTTACTGAAACATCAATTCAGTTCAACAAAGATGAAATTTGATCAATTATGCCTATTAACATTTGGAAGTAATGTAACTTCCATTTCATAATTAAATCTTTGAAATCAATATATTTTTAGTTGACTGAATTTTTAACAAAATATTTTAACTGTAAGAAAGGGGAACACTAAATGTTTTTAGATAAAATTTCTTACCTTGTTATGAAGTATGCTGCAAGTATGCACATCCATACATTTGCTTCGAGTACAGTGAGAAATTTGAAAAGTGATGATGGTATTGATGGTTTTTTCATCAATATACTTATACCAACTAAATCATAGTAAGGCACCGTAAAGTCTACTACAGTTTCTCTTTCTGCCATTACTGATATTGGACCAAGAGCAATTTCTGCTTTCTGAAAAAAACAAAAGCAAATCCATTTTTTTTAAAAATTTAAAATAGAAGAGTATAAAATGCTTCTACTTTTTTTCTGAGAATATTTGCTTGATTTTTATATAATAATATTATAGTATTAAAAAAATAAATTTTTTTGAACAAAAAAAGGAAGAAAAAAAAACCTATGTTTCTTCATGCTACGCAATATGCTTTTGAATGAAGCTGGCAATTGTGGTACATTGACTTAGTACGTTTTAAAGAAAACACACAAAGTCAGCGTACGGCTACAATTTAAATGCGATTTCCACTTTTCTATTATTTAGTTAAAGGAGAAAAAATCATTTTATATCATCAATGGGTTTTATTTTATAACTGTCGTTGAACGGTCGACCCAATTACGGCAACTAATGCTCAACTCTGTAGCCTTGTAATTTGAACCTAATCCAGAAGACAAGGGAATTCTTGGATCAAATAATATGAGTAATTTGCCTTCTTGGTGAACTTTTTGATGGAACTTACCTGCATTTGCTTTACATTGAGACGACAACCTCCCACGGTTAACCTAATGTCAAGGGGACTCTAGCCCGTGATCCGTCTACCACTGAGGATATTTTACGTTTGAATTGTGTTCGATGCGAGCCGGGTGTGGAATTCGTATCGACCAGCCATTGTTGGGATTCGAACCCGTTTCACTACGTTAAGGCGACTGCTCTATTCTCTAAACCACCACGACTTCATTAATATGGTTTGATAATATATGACTTCAAAGTAGCAGAAATTTTTTGTTCTTCTTTTTTGCACTTTTGAATCAAAATATCTTCATACCATACTGAACTTGATAAATTTCTATGCAAACATTGAATTTTGATTAAAAAAAACCGTATAAAAAGTTATTAAACGTATTAATTGGTCAATTTTGTTATCTAGTATTACTATAACCATTTCTTTATCAGCTTCAATTATTAAAACCATTTTTGGTTTCATAGTTTGGTAAAGAAAAAATGCTTGCATATTTACCTTATCCTTTAAGTCTCTAATCATTCCATCCCATTCTAGGTTTTCATCCATAGTGCCAAATTTCTTATCTTCTGTTTCAGTAATAGTATATTCAAAATTTAATATTTCTTTTATGTTATCAATTAATTCAATGCAGTAGCCTGAGAATGTTACAGTTCCATTTCCGTCCACATGTTTATAGATAAATGGGGGAATCTGAAAGCAAAATTAAAATAAAATAATGAAGTTACTTAGAGAATTCAATTTCTTAAAGTCTGTGGTGATAGTACGTTACCAACGACAATGTCAACCTTCATCTTTGAAAAGGTACTCCAACATAGAATCGAGTTAACATGTCTTATATACTAGTGAATTGGAATTGAATAATTGTAGTGGTAGACACGCTAGGGAATTTTCCCACCAAAATTTTATCTGCGGTAGAATTCGATGAACGGATACCACTAGTTGATTCATTGATGTTTTGTGAGAAGCCGGGAGAGCTGTATTAAGTTCACCGTCATGATCGCTCCTGTGTTGCCATTAGCAGTCGAGTGTATACAGGCCGACGTTGTTTGTGTTCGAGACTGAGTATCACCGGTGTGATGAGGACAATGTCACAGTCACAAATAGCAAGTCAACTGTTGAATGTGGATCATTTTTAGAAGTAGACGTGTTCGATTCGAAGTGGACGTGTGTAGGCCTGTTCAGATCGCGTCTGCAGGTCACCGATGTGGGGCGAGTGTTATTGACAATGTCAACTTTCACCAATGAAAAGTACCCCAACATAGAATCGAATTAACACATCTAATATACTATTGAATTGGAATTTAATAATTGTAGTGGCAAGCACGCTACAATTCCTTGAATCAGATATAAAAATGATTAATTAAAAAGCTAAAATAAGAGAATGAAACTGTAAAAATAATTTATTTAATGGAAAATAATAACGTTATCAAATGTTCTAAGAAACTATTTGAAAAAAAATAGTTTTGCTAATGTGATCGGAAAATATAGCTCTCTTAAAATTCTTCAAAATTATACAATCTCATTAAGTATTTGATCTGTTACTCATATGACTGTAATGAAAATTTAGTAATTAATTAAATTTTTCTTCAGCGTAATTTTTTTTATTATTTTTACAGCTATGAAAATGACTCCATTAACTTAAATCGAATAAAACTTTTTAGTCACCTTATTCTGCAGCAAAATAGCTTCAGTTAGTAGTAGAAGTATATATTTTTTTCTATCATAAGCATTCTCGCCAAAGACAGTTGTTGGCCTAGGATTCATACAAGTTAAGGTACCACAATTTTGAGACCAATAGCATAATGTTAGCAACGTGTTCATTGTTACGGATTTTACATGAGCTTTACTTCCCAGACTAGTTGGTAACCATCGACCTCAAGTTAGGTAGGTTTTAAGCTGCCACTTAACTACTCTACCATCGTGGATCTACCGCATAAAACTAGCTGTTTGTTCTTAAGTTTGCTTATCCAACTTGATCAAAAACTGAAGTTCTTGGTTTCGTTATGATGTAATTGCACCTATACAAGTTTTACTACGTCTTCTGTTAAATTTTAAATTAGTTACACAATTTTTGTTTTTGATATTGAGGTTAATTTTGAAGAAAGTGATCGTTAAAAAGTTTAGCTCTGTGTTCAAAATACGATTTCAGTAAAAGCCTGAACTTTCAAATTGGAAGAAAACAGCCCAACAGCACAGAATCTCTTAATCGATATTTTATCTAGAATCATTCGCAAAGCATCTTAATGTCTTTTCTCAATCAACTCGATGGTTTCTTGCAAAAGTCCGAGATTTTGTCATGTGTATGTCGAAATGTGTTAGCAGATTTAATCAACAAGGATGATATAAATGTATTCTGAAAGAAATATCTTAATTAATAGTACAGTACTGTTTATTAATTGTGTAAGAAAAGAGAAATTTTTTTTTCTTCCTCTACCCCAGTAAAGGTTGAGAGGAGAGGAGAGTTTCAAGAACCTCTGCTGTTGTGCTGTGTTGAAATGTTGTTTTTTCCTTTATACACAGGGATCGCACCAAATCTTGGGGAACTGGTTTACATTCTGTCTATGGAAGCTATCCTTCTTCTCCATGTATATTCTTTGGTACTATATAGTGGGTTACAATGGGGCATTATTTCAGATTTTGTATTTTTAGATGTGCTGAAGCCCTTTTTCCCCTCATCCACTGAAGCCCTTTTTTCCCTCATGCATTGCATATTATGTTTGAGTATATAAACGAGCTTAGTTAATATTTAAGAATGAATTGCAATCAAAATACTAATGTAGAATTTGCATAAAAAATGTACAATACGAACCTCGAGAGTAGTTACACGATATACTGTAATAGCAGTAAAGTTCTTCAGATCGCTTCCTGGTTCAAACTTAATTTTACCCGTTGGTCGACCATAAGTCCATATTCCGATCTAAAATAAATACTTTTAGCTAAATTCATAAGAATTGTTATAAAGAGGGTGGGAATTATTGAGTATACAGCGATTTAAACTTACTCGTTTAGGTTTTGCTATTACATTGTTTGAGAATGATATATTTCGCATGAATAATGATAATTCTTGATAGCTGCTATCAGTGTCTGTTATTTTGAAAGGACCGAACATTCCTTCGTACGCTTCCTAGAATTAGAAAAAAAAAATTGCATGCATTATTTAATGAACACAAATTTATATAAACTGTGTTTTTAAAAATGTTAATTGCAATATAAAGAATATCAAGTTGCTGCAAACTTGAAATTTTTGTTAAATGATACTATCTACTTTTTATATTTTAAGAATAAAATAAAAATGCTTTGTAATTAATGCGGTAGTAAAAAATATAATTGTACTACTGGTAAAGAAATGAAAACGTTATCAGGAGTTACGTGTTTAAAAGGTTTGTATGTCTCTTTTTCAATTGCTAGAATAAATTTTAAATGTTTTTAAATTAAAATTGTAAGAAAAAACTACAATGTTTAGCTGCATAATGTTGTACATAAAAATATGAATTTTTAAAGAAATGTGTGCGTAATTCAAGCAACGTAATGAATCGTTGTCCAACGCAAATTATTCCATCAAGTGTGTTTGGCATTTCTGTATTATTTATTAATACTTTTAATGGATGTTTGAGGATAGTGCTCATTAAAAAAAGTGAGAATTATATGAAAAATCTCACCATTAGCCCCTTCCTTCTCTCTCCCGTGATATCTCCGGGCTGGAGTGTTCAGTAGTAACGTGCCAATAAAAATAAAACTAATTCGTTTCTTTTGTCCGGAAAACATTTTATTTATCATTTTGCACACCAGATGGTTGTACCAATATATTTTTAAGGCAATTGTAGATAGTTTATTTTAAACTAGATGTCAGCACTAACCAAATACGTGTATTTGTGATAGGTGATAAAAAAAATAGGCACTTTTATGACCGTTTTCTTGAAAATTAACCGATCGTTAAGGGGTTAAACTTAGTTAAGGTTAACATTGAACTTGACTGAATGTGAAAAGGTTGATCATAGATTGTAATTTCTGAAACTTACTTGTTTAAGAGCATTTAGAAGTTTTACTGAACTCCGTTCATTCGGATCTATTTTATCTTCCGTTGAACAAGAAGGATAAGATAATTGAGTTGGCCAATCTCCTGCATTTATTTTGTTTTTCACTGTTTGGACTACCAGGAAAACAAGATCATAGTAGAAAGCGATTTCTACCTGTACAAAAGAAAAAGCTAATATAATGTTTTGTAATTATATAAATCATGCTTCAAACTTGACATAATCATACCTCTGATAAAGATTTTTTAAACATATTAGCTAATCTTTCCACTTTCTCTTTACTAGCAGTAGGGCGAGGTGTCATCCACAAAGCAGAAAATTTTTTGCAATTACATCGTGGCTGCTCTGGATCCTTAAGTAAAAAATACAATAGTTTAGTAATTCAGCTTTTGTGAGTATTAATCATTCGTTTATGGTTAAAATTATACTTAGTCATGGAAGAAAGTAGCTATAGGTGATAAAATAAAAGGTTTTTTTAAAAAAAATCATATTGTTTAAAAACAGTACATGAAGTCGCCAATTTGGATCTGAGAATGACTGAAAAACCTCAACGCTTGCAAGAAAGCATTTCGATGTAAAGTATAGTAATGATGCAAAATGGGTTTGTTTCAGAACCTCTCCCGAGGGACCGATCAAGACAAATTCAGGCCCAAGGCCCACAAAATTTTCCGGGTCCCTAACAGAATATTTTGAAATTAAATTTCTGAAAAGTAGTCCTAACAATAAAAATAATCTATTGAACTGCATGATTCAAGAGAAACATTCCCAAACATTTTGAAAGCAGACAATTGAAGAATATTTTTCTAAGATAAAGTTTGCGCATCTAAATATTAAAGCAAAATATAAAAAAACAAAACGATGTTGTATGAAAATAAAAATAGTTTGGTGACCACAAACAATTGAAATCAGTGATTTTGCTAAAAATCTACTGATTAGCTGAATTATTTTAAAGATTGTAGCCTTCCATCTACAAATTTACATATATTTGTTAAGAATAAGCTTTTAGTTCTTGTTGACACTAATAATTTATAAGAAACTTTGCAAATATGCATTCTCGTTGCATTTGCATTGCAAGCCGTTGGAGTAAAAATTGCACCAATTAAAATTCAGCTGTACTCGCTCAGCCGAATTTGATTAGTGCAATGTTTATACGAGTTTGGTTTATCACAATATGAAGAAAATTTGAAATAAAAAATGCCTTTTTTCAGATAAACTGTTACTTTCAGTATTTTTTTTAAATAGAAGTAATATTGTGTGTCTCAAAAATTAGAAAAAGTATTTTTTACTAATTTTTGAGGCCCCCCAGAAAGTGTGGGCCCTAGGCCCATGCCTATTGGGCCTAGGTGATAATCAGGCCCTGCCTCTCCCTTAAATTTAAACACATGTTTTCTTTTATGTGTTGTTTATGTGTGGACAAGTATTGATTTGAAAACCAAAGCAAATTAAGTTTATCATGACTTTTTGATTTAATTTTGTTTCTGTACTGCAGATAAGTTTCTTGAGCAATGTCGGTAAGTGATATTTGACTCACTTTCAAGTTCCCATACGCCAAAATAAGTGTTGTGAGGCAGCTGTTTCGGCTATTGTCCAACGAAACAATTGTCTAAGCAATTTCGACTAATGCTTTTGTGTTTCACAGAGAAAAAATTAAAAAAAAAAAGGATAGTTTGAAACTTTTCATTACTTTCACATATCTTTTGACAGCTTTTAGACTTACTTTCAAGGTCAAACTGTACTTATTGCGATTAGGTTGCGATTTTGTACTTAACCTTTATGATGTGTGTAGTCATGTTCAGTGAAAAAATTTTTGCTTTTAATATGAAACTAAAACGAACAGGAAAGGAATTAGATTACCACTCACTTGAATATAACCCTTAAAAATAAAAAGGTTGTTTAAACCTGGCAAACTTGTTTTTACAATGCATGGAAGTACAAAATCGAGGTTAACGGGGAGGCACTTTTTCTAAAGGAGAAAAATTATTATTTGTTTATGAATTTCGAAGAACTGCTATATAAACGTGCCTGTTCTTGAGCCTGTCCGAAATTCCTGTCCGATTATCACTTTTCCACAAAAGAAAGCGCATGGACAGCTGAGTCACATTGGCTCCATTCATAGGCGGTAGACTTCTATTACAGCAGACTACGAAAAATTATCCCACAGTATGACTATGGACAACCAGTCAAATATTAGTTTTATGAGGTTCAAAGTTAACTGTTAAACCGATCATAACGCCAAAGAGTCCTCAGAAAGTCGTTTTTGTTCTGAATATAAACAAATACTGGTTCTGCAGCATGTGAAGAGGTTTTCACTTTATCAAGCATATAAAGAACAGACCTTGTTTTGACTTAAAGCTCGGTTAAGAGTTAACTTAGTTACCGTCATGTGGGGCTACTTTGTGCAGGATTTCGCAGTTTTTGTACTTTGACATGAAAAAAAACTATGTTAATTCAATCTTTAGTAAAATTTATCGATATTATATTCATAACTGGACTCAGACGTGTGAATTTGATCAATATTGGCATTATTTGTATGTAATATTTACAAATAATAAGTCAAAACATACCTTGCACAAAGTAGCCCCCAAGTGGGTCTACTTTGTGCAGCGATAGGAATTACGTTTAATAATCATGTTTTTATTAAAATATTGATATAAAATTGTTAAAAAAGTTAATTGTTGACATTTTTAATAACGAAAACATCAAGATATGTAAATATATTAGTTTGAAAATAATTTTCTGCGTTAAAAAACCATTTTTGATAAAGAATTTCTTTCTTAAAACGAATGTTTATTTTAAAACATTTGAGTTTAAACAAAAGGAAACCATGTACATTTTTGAACATTGAAATGGAAGAATATTCATTAACATTTTTAATATTGATAAATTTGAACATAACATGCTTGAATGAACATGACAGAACTTGCTCTTCAGTTTTGGTCAAAATCACCTGATGTCCTATAAAATATATTTTTATGTGTTAAATCGTTTGATTAATTCATTAGAAAAATCTTTGTAAAAGAAAAATAATAGTTTACCAGCACGTTTCACGTGTTTCTTGTGAATTTTATTAGCGATAGTATTTCTGTGGATCTTGTACTTCCGAGAAGCTTCTGCAATCAACATACCACGGCAACTGCTTGCAAACATTGTTTCAGCTTTTCTAAAGTGTAATCACGGTAGTTTCTCGTTCCGGGTATTTTTTTAATAAAGTCTGGCAATTTTTTTGTCGAAAAAAAAAAACGAATGAAACTTTGCACAAAATATCCCCACAGTGCATTTTTTTTCATTTTCCGTTTATTTGTTTTAAATTTTCAAATTTTTTTAACGCTAACATGATATAATTGTTTATTAATATATAAATAAAAAATTTTGCACTTACGACAATTGTTTAATCAACGTCTTTGCATTTCACAGCTAAAGTTTCCACGCACACTTTTCGACGTCCGAAGTTCTCGGAAAGTTGTTGACATTGAATAAACACACACTCTGAGATTGTTTTAAAATTCGAAAAAATGTTTGTAGTAATAGAGGAGACTTCTATCTTCAAATTCCACACATTTTTAACATGAAAAAAACATAATACTGAATAGCAGCCCCCGCTGCACAAAGTAACGCATGACGGTACGATACAAAATGGAAATTTGACCAGTTGTCTATTCCCGTGATTTTCATGTCGAGTAGTAGCGAAAATATCCTTGTATCTTTTGCAATAAATCCTTCCTGGTAATTATGTTTCATTTCTATTTAATGACGTGGTAAATTTACTTTTACTACCGTCATTTGGGGCTACTTTGTGCAGCGGGGGCTACTTTATGTAAATTCGAATTTGGCACTTTTCAAGTGCTGTTATTCAGTATTATGTTTTCTTCACGTTAAAAATGTGTGGAATTTAAAGATAGAAGTTTCCTCTATTACTACAAGCATTTTTTCGAATTTTAAAACAATCTCAGAGTGTGTTTTGTTTATCCAATGTCAACAACTTTCCGAGAACGTCGGACGTCGAAAAGTGTGCGCGTAAACTTTAGCTTTGAAATGCAAAGACGTTGATAAAACAATTGTCGTAAGTGCAAAATTTTTTATTTATACATTAATAAACAATTACATCATGTTAGCGTTAAAAATTTTTTAAAATTATTAACAAATAAACGGAAAATGAAAAAAAATGCACTGTGGGGCTATTTTGTGCGAAGTTTCATTCGTTTTTTTTTTCGACAGAAAAATTGCCAGACGTTATAAAAAAATACCTCGAACGAGAAATTACCGTTATTACACTTTAGAAAAGCTGCAACAATGTTTGCAAGCAGTTGCTGGTGGTATGTCGATTGCAGAAGCTTCTCGGAAGTACAAAATCCACAGAAATACTATCTCTAATAAAATTCACAAGAA